TTGCACTGGATATGAGCAGTCTTAGGTCCAGAGCACTGACAGAGCCTCTGTCACGTTGGCATCACAGTCTGATGGCATCCCCTGCCCAGTCCTGCTTTTGCCCTTTTTCCTTTCACAGGTGTTTCTCTCTCCAATAATTTTTTTGCCCTCTCAACTGTCTCAGCATCTGCTTCCTGGAGAACCCAAGCGTCAACATCCTCCCAGAGCGTCATACTTCACAGACAACCAAAATAAACAATCCAAAACAGCAGGCCGCTAGAATATAACGCCAGGAGGACAGGGATGATGGCTTAGTTTCATTTCTGCATTATCCCCAGCATCTAGAATAGTAATTGGTACGGAGTGTTGGGGATGGAGTTAGTAAACAATTGTTGAATGAATGAATGAACCCAGCTGTCTGCATTTGCTGACAATGGGACGGCCGGGTCGAGGCTGGTGCTTCTTCTACCCCCTCTAGTTCACCACCTCTTCCTCCCACCACACTGACCTCCAGCCCCCTCCTTCCTCCTTCCTTTCTCTCCCTCAACTACTGAGCATTCATGCTGGGCCCCACGCTCCATGCTCAGAACTACCTTCTGCAGTTGCTCCAAACCGCCTTGCCATCTCCTCTCTGCTTCTCATCCTCTTCTGCTTTCTTAGCAAGCCGGTTCCACAGCAGAGGCTCTGCTCTCACCTGCCCCCAGAGTGGGCATTCCCAAAGAGCATCCCAAGGAACACTTGCCTAACAAGGCGCTTACTTTTTAAGTTGTTTTCTAGGTGTCAGGCACCCTATTAGATACTCTCTTTACACTATGTTTTTGGTGTGTGTGGTAAAATACACATAACACAAAATTTACCATTTTAACCATTTTTAAGCGTACAGTTTTAGTGGCACTAAGTACATTGTTGTGCAACCATCACCACTATCCACCCACAGAACTTTTTCATCATCCTAAGCAGAAGCTGTACCCTTTAAACAATAACTCCTCATCCCCTCCTGCCCCAGCCCTTGGTAACCTCTATTCTGCTTTCTGTCTGTATGAATTGGCCTATTCTAGATACTTCGGGTAAGTGGAATAATACAATATTTGTCCTTTTGTGTCTGGCTTATTTCACTTAGCATAATGTTTTCAAAGTCCATCCATGTTGTGGCATGTGTCAGAATTTCCTTCCTAAGGCTGGATGATAGTTCATTGTATGGATAGACCACACTCTGTTTATCCATTTAACAGTTGACGGACATTTGAGTTGTTTCTACATCTTGGCTATTGTGAATAATGCTGCTAGGAACATATGAGTACAAGTATCTGGTTTTAGTCCCTTTTTTCAATTCTTTTGAGTATATTCATGAGTGGAATTGCCAGATCACATGGTAACTGTATTTTTAATTTTTTGAGGACCTGCCAAACTGTTTTCCACAGTGCTATCAAGGTACTTTTTGGAAAAAGGGTTAGGTGGTCCACAGACTTCATCCTTGAACTCTTTCTTGGAGAGTCACAGTGCACTTTAGCACAGTAAAGGCTCTGAGAAGTCCCAAAGTAAAGAATCTGTGTAACTTTGACCCACCATTCCCTAAACTAGTTTGAACAGTGGAACCCTTTTTTGCCAAGTAACTGGTAACATACCATCCTCTGCTGGCTTGGGAAAGAACACTCTGAGCTCGCAGGCCTACGCAGAAAGGGCTGGGGCTCAGGACGGGTGCAGGATCACTCAGCCCAGAGATGAGACCACCTTGAACGCTCCAACTAGCCTGTTGGGTGATCCTGGCATGTTACTTTCCTCCTCCTGGTGGTTCTGCACATGCTCTGTCCTCTGCTTGGTCCACCCTTCCTCTGCTTCTTTGCTCCTTAAGATTAACTTAACCTTCAGGACTAGCTTAGGCACTCAGCCCTTTCGTCAGGAAACTCTGACCCTGCTCTCTTGTCTCCCCAGGCAGGGGTTGGAAGCCCATCTTCTGCTCAGCTCTTATGAAACAGTGTTGTCCTGTTAAATGGCCAGCCTCCTTCCCTATATCAAGAATGTGTGTCAAATTTAGTTTGTATCAACAATCACCTGAAGAGCTTATTAAAAACGCAGCTGCCACCATTGTACCCCTAAAAACTCAAGCTCAGTAGCTCTTGGGGGTGCATTTGGTGGATCTGGAGTGTGCATTTTTAACAAGTATGCCAGGCAATATTCTCGGGCAGATGATTTTCAAATCCCCCTCTTGTTAGCGCTGTGAGGATAAAGGCCACTTCTACCTCTGTTTATTCTACACAACAAATGTTGAATGAGTGAACAGATGAACAAATGAATGAAAAATGAATGAAACAACCTGTTTCCTACTCTGTAAAAGATGAGGTTGCACTGGATGTCTTCTAAGCTTTCTCTTGCTTAAACTTCTCTTTATAAAGTTCAGGTTATTTTACCCCAGAAACTGTGTTCCTGGCAGCTTTAATAGCAGAACCATATGCAATACACAAACCTAAGTACACGAAATCACCAGGGAGACCTGCTGAAGAGGATTTAGTCTACACTACTACTTAGCGAATGACCCAGGCTCATGCATAACCATCCTTTTGAAACTATCAATTTAATCGCAAGCTAGAGATACAAAGAGAGGCACACGCTTGTGCCCATGTGAATTCAGTCTCATTCTCTCTCACAAGTCAGGGCTGACAAACCCCTAAATTTGGGGTTTAGGGAGCTAGGCATTATAGGAAGACAGGGGCCAGAGAAGGTGCTGGGGTGTTGAGCAGCTCCCTTGCTGCATGGAGGGGCACAGACCGTTAGCACTGTCAGGGCCCCCTGACTCGGCTCCGACCATTTCTCGGAGGAGACTTTGAAGATAAAACCCTGACTCTCCTCTCCCTGAGAACCCTCCAGGTTTTGAGAGGCAGCTCCAGCTTCTCACAAGAGCTACGGCCTGAGAAAAATGAATTCTCCCATTACTTATAACCTCTCAGCATTTCAGAGGAAAAGGTTGACTATGGCTGCCAAGAGCCAGTAAATATTTGGTTAGCTTGGAAAGAACGGGTGCTCATTTTCCAATTCTCACAGATTTCTCTGTGCCCAGTTCTTTTATTAAAAACTTCAAATCCAGAGATAAAGTCGAATGGCTCTCCAGGCTCTAAGCATTCATCTGTATCCCAGGGAGCAGAACCCAGAATCTCAACAAAGAAAAGCTTAATCAATAGAACTCATGAATTTCCTCTGGGAGCAGGACCCAACGTAGCTGAAGAATAAGCAGAGGGGCTCCTAACTGTGGTTTTCTTTGGGTGGATATTTATGGGGAAGGGCTGGAGAATGTTCCCTAAGTTGGCTAAGGTCAGCACATTATGGCCAACGAGACGAATCCTGCTTGCTGCCTTTTTTGTTTGTTTTTGTACAGCCTGTGAATTAAGCATGTTTTGTACATTTTTTAAACATTGAAAAAAATATCAAAAGAATAAAAATATTTCATGACATCTGAAAATCATTCAAATTTGTGTCTATAAAGTTTTATTGGAACACGGCCACACCCAGTTGTTTGCATTTGTCTACAGCCACTTTTGAGCTATGATGACAGAATTAAGTAGTTGAGATAGAGAACATATGGCCCTCAAAGTCTAAAATATGTCCTATTTGGCCCTTTAGAGAAAAAGTTTGCAGACCCCTAGAGTAGGGAATGTAAGACTTGGCCTTCACTGGTATTTGAAGTAAAAACTATAAAATATATATGCACGGTTAAGTAATTATAAAGTAAACCTCTGTGTAACCTAACACGTGGGTCAAGGAATAAGACATTGTTGGTCAGCACCCCAGATTCCTGTGTGCCCTTTCTTCCTGACTAGTTAATCATTAACTGGACCTTTGTGATAATATCTTCCTTGCTGTTCTTTATACTTCTACCACTTAAACTTTGTAATTAAATTTTGCTTGTTTTTGAACAGTATATAAATAGAGTAACATTACACATTTGCTTTTGCGTCTTGCTTCTCTCTCTCAACACAGTTTGTGGGGCTCTACTCTGAGTTATTGCCTGTGGCTGTAGTTCTGTCACTGCCTTGGCTGCATGGCATTTCACTATATCAGTTTAGCTCAGTTCATTTATTCATGTTACTGTTGATGGACAGTTGGGTCATTTCCAGCTTTTGGCTATTGTGAATAGCATTGCTGTGAACATCTTGTATCTGAACCATCATTGATGTATGAAAGAGTCTCTCTTGAGAAAGGAGTGGAATTGTTGGATCATAGGATATGTATATCTTCAGCTCTACCAGTTAATGCTGAACTCTTCTCCAAAGACATGGGACCAAATTACCCCCAGCAACTGCTTCCTTTTAGGGAGTAGAGAAGTTCCTTGTGTCTTGTCAATCAGCACTATTTCCATCTCTCAACCCTGAACCAAATAGTTCTGCTGCCTGCCACCCAGTACCCTGAAGAGCCAGACAAGGTGCATGGAAGCCATCATCCCCTTTGCTTTGTATCTTCGCTTAATAGAATTCTCAAGTCTTAAAAATGTAGCGAGCAAACAGTCAACTTTCTAAGAACGATCCTTGAGATAGTGTGATGTCTTTTAGATGCATGTGCTTGGCTAACAGGCCAGCCAGGTGTGAGAATATCCTGACCACCCTCTCCCTCCCCTCCCCACCCTCCCAAGGATGGGAGCTGAGGAGGGAAGCTCATCATAGCTAATGGGTCAGGTGGCCTTCCAAAGCCTGCAGGGTGGACAGGATGGGAAATCAGGGAAATGGCAACTGCCCCTCTCTCCTTTGGGAAATCAGAGGATTTCAAAGGTCAGGATATCAGCTCACGGGAAGCCGATGCTTGTGTCTTTCTCTGCAGGGCTTTAGGAAAACAGGGCAGAAAACGCCCACTCCTCCCACGGCCAGCCTGCTGAAACCCCATCACTTGGAGGACCCAGCACCAGAGGCATTTCTGAAGCATGATGTAGCACTACATTGAGAAGGCACAAATAAACCCCAAACCCGAGCACACATTTATCCAGTTTGTGAAGCGGATTAATAGAATAACCAATAAAACATGTATAAAAGCTTTAATTAAATCTGATGAAATAAAACTTCATGTTTTATTTATGGACACTCCCAACATGTAAAGGATTCAGGGACACATTCATTTTTACTGCCATTTCGTCCTCATATCTATAATTAAATCCAGGCTGCAGCTCTGGCCCAAAGCAATGCGGCATTTTAAAGCTGGCCTTGGACACGCCCTCCCCCACCCCCATCTGCTTTTAATTATAATTACCATCCCAATATGAAGGAGGCTGATGGTAAAACAACACAAAATAATAAAACAAACAAACGAAAAATGGTTGTTGCCATTGTGTTTTAAAACGACATGCTGAAGGAGGATTTCGGGCAAGTGGACGTATCCTCTATTTCCAGTTTTATTCTGTACCAAGTGCACAATCCCTTCATTTTACTTTTGACATAAAAAAAGGACTTCATGAAACAAGACAAAATAACTTATGATTATATGAAACATAACTGTGACAAATCACAAAACTATACATATTAATAGAAAAAAAGTGTACCTAATTCTTTAAAAGATTTATGACAATAAGCACCAGATGTGCCCCTAGAGTAAAATCGGCCCCATATCCAGTATGATATATGCAGTTCATTTCTCTACGTGAGTGTATATAACTATGTACAAGAGTCTGTGTGATTTATGGGAAACAGATTTCCACTTTTTCCCCCCAAAGTGCTTTATGTCAGCAACATTACACAGGATGCTCTGCTGTCTGTACAAAATAAATCTCTTCTTTTTTACACTCGCCATTTCTCCAATGAGTGTCTTTTTTTCTTGCTTTATCTTTTGCACACACACACAAAAAAAATGTAACCGCAGAAATTCCACACCACCAACAGAAAGTGCCATTAAAAAATGCTGCTATAAAATGACATGGTCAAAACAGTCAAATAAAATACCAGATTATTAAATTGGACATTTACAATCACTATTCCTTATACTTCAAGGCAACTGGAACGCCAAGGTTCTTGGATGGAGGGGGTGAACATGGACCGCTGTTCTGATGCACGAATGTGCTGGCCTTCTGGTAATCTGAGAACAACAGAACCAACACTCTGTTTTATCAGTGGAAACTGTGCCGAGATCCACTGAAGACCTTTTGCCCATTTTAGAATCACCTATGTAATTTGAGGGAGATACAGGTAAAGGGAGACACCCCTCAGGACTAGTGAATATTTAAACAGTATTTAACAGCTGATCACAGAGGCTAAATTACAACTGACATTTTGATGCAGTCCCTTTAGGGAATTAAGAATGCAGCAAATGAAATGTCTCTAGGCATACTGATTTTTTTTTAATGTAATAGGATAATTGGCTTTGGGCTGTGTGTATATTCACAAACACCAGTTTTTTAAAAAAGGGGAATGAGAATCGCTGTTTAGATGTTTATGAAAATGGTTACATCTCAAGACTAAAAAGGCCAGGAAATGGGAGGGAATGAATTTTGAAGTTTCCACTTTTACTGCTACAAACAATGACGAAAGCAAATATAAATCTTCTGCAATGTGAAAGCAGGCTATGGACACATTGTAAGGTCAGGTGAGATTCTGGAAGCTAAGGACAGTGTGTGTATCTAGAAGGAACCTGAAAGTGTCACGTCCTGAGGCCCTAAGCTCAAGCTTGCAGCCATGGGGAAACACTAAGGGGTATGTGAGGGGCGCTGGGCCTGGCAGGCTGTGCTGGGCCCTGCTTCCTGCTTGTTCCCTCTGCTAATGTGAAGGCCCCCCAGGGGCCGGCCCGAATTCCTGCTGAGGAAGGAGCCCCTGCGGGTACTGCTGCCGCCTGGCCCCTCTGGTTCCCTCCAGCCACAATGAGGCAAGAGAGGAGCAGGGCCACAGTGAGGCCACAAGTAGACCAGAGACTGACGCTCGGAGTATCTCCTCCAGCCAAAGAGGGAGACAACAGCCTTGGTTTCCGAGGTTCAGCTTCTGGTTCTGTCCTCCTTCCCCTCTTCCACTTTAAATTATATAAAGCCATAAGGCAGGGCTGACGACATCAGCTGCAATAACAACCTTGCCTTTTGATCTTTTTCTTCCTCATCACGCAAATGAACTATTGTAAAGGCTTCCTTGTAAAGGCTTCGGTATTTAAGAATGGACAGATTGTCTCTCTAAAGATACCAGAGCTTTCCTTTCTTTCCAGAGTGTGACAAAGGACACACAAAGGATGCCAGTGTTAGCATGCATGTGTCCTTGTTTAGGCCAAGTGACACGACCCACAAAGTCTGCAAGAAAAGGAGGGACTTTACATGAGAGCTCATCTGGAAAGACATCCTGACATGCATCCTTTCGGAAAGCAGAGCACATCTCTGTCAAGTGAATAACTTCTGCAGACTTGGACGTCTACGTGATAGCTTTTCTCAGATCAGAGCCCTCTAGTTAGAGAAAAGAGACTGACTGAGTGCGCTGTAAAAGTGGCCGCCATGCTTGGTTCTTTATTCACCTTATTCTACTGCATGTTGGAATGAAGTCCAGAACCAGGCAGGACACTACTGACTGTGCAGCCAGACTGGAAGGACCCATCTGTCAGGATACAAACTGTCACTGGATCCCAAGCCTGACATCAACTTGTTTAATTGTCTCATTGAAGATTGTAATTATCTCAGTCTGACAAATAGCATTGTTTCATTTTTGCTCAGAAAACATTTTTAAAGAGAGAGAAAAGAAACTGTGAAATGTGACAGTACTGGAATGTCAGATTTTACCAGGTGTCTTTGGGGTTTCGCTCATTTTTCTAGTTTATGCCATAGGACTTGGGATCTTTTCAATAGTTTTGTAAAGGTGTCACAGAAAATGGCTTCCTCTTCAGGCTTGATGTCAAATGGCCAAGTGCTCTGTGAAAATTTCAGGCCCTGAAATCAGAGTTTCAGAAAAAAGGTTGCCTTCTTCTGCCCACCTTTCCAGAACTGTTCCCTCTACCTGTCTGAGGCTGGACTTTCCCAAGAGACGATGGTCAGGCAATGGTGGGTGGAGGGCACGTCTGAACCACAGTCAAGAAGAAGGTGAGAACAATCAAAAAGAGGGAGAGGAGAAGTACAGGGGACAGAGAGACAGACAGACAGATGAGTAGATAGCCTAATGGAGGTGAGCAGAGGCTGTGAAAAATAACTGGACATCGGGCATCTCTAGTTCGGTTTTCTGAGAGAACCAGGAACACCACTCAGTGGGCCCCTGTTCTCATATCTTCTAGCACATCTCTGGGCTGAGCACCTAGAGCGGAGGCAAGGGGTGAATAATCAAGTGACCTTTTCCTTTGAACAAGGTCTTCGAGGTGGAGTCGCCGAACAGTCAACCCATGAGGGTTCCTGCTACAGGACTGGGAAGCGGGGTGTGCCCCCATTTCCCTCAGGTAGCCGTTGCTAAATGCAAAACTAACATTCCAAGGGTGCTGACAGGTGCTGCGAGGGGGCCATGCAGAGCTATAGCTGTGGCAAAATGTATGTAGTTGGGATGATTAAAATAATTATTTCCATCCAAAGAACAGACCTCTAAATATTTTTTCCTTTTAGAGTAGGTGTCAATAACAAGTCTTTAAAATGAAAGAACTAAGATAGGTTGCTGGAATATAAAATAAGTTGTAGTGCTTTTCAAGGACTGTGCTTGACAGAACCTTAGCTTGTTTTTGGAGAAACACTGAGAAGTGACTGGTTAGCACGGGGGCATCTGAGAGGAGTGAGGCAGCAGCTCACTGGAATGCCAAGCCGGTGCCGGAAACACGGGACTCGGCTGAGAGCAGAGCCCACGCTGTGCTTTGGATGTGGACTTCCCTTGCTGCGCATGGCTCTGCACGGCCAGCAGTGAGGACAGCTGGGCGAGGCAGCTCACTGTGCTTCTGGCAATCTGGGTAAGTCCTTCCTATTTGGAGTTTTCAGCAAGGGTCATCCTCAAACTACATTTTCACATGCACATCATTTCATCGGTGTCCTTTGAGGGCTGACAGTCAGGAAGTAACAGGTATCCGGTAGAGTGAGACTCTAAATTCCCTTTGAAAAGACAGTCCTGCTGGTCACCTGGTCCAGCAAACCCAGAGAGAAAAAGGAGCAATGGCAAACCCTCCAGCAAAGCCCAGCTCTGACCCACTGTCCTGCCTTCCAAAGACACATCTGTGACTCTGCAGGTTCCGCTGATCTGGTTGACATCCCTTTTCACGCAGTCTACGCAGAGAGTATGAAAACAAAAGGCGGTGAGCAACAAACAGGTTTGCCAGTGGTAGTGGGGGCCAGGGGAGCTTTTAGCCTTCGGTATAGACAGAAGAGAGCTGGCTAGGACAGCGGTCCACAGCGCTGATCTGCAAGAACGTGGCGTCTTCAGGCCCGCTGCGAAGAGACTCCCCAAAAAGGCTGGAGGAACCTGAAGGCAAATCGTACACTGGAAGAGAAAGGACACAGGGAGTCATTACCTCCTGCCGAGCCACACCCACCACGTGCGCTGCAAATGCAGACTGGGGGATACAGAGGCAACCGCCCTGGGCCAGGCCCTTCAGTGAGTCTCTGGGCCTCAGAAACCTGAGTAGGTGAGGATGCTGACTTGCAGACAGATGTCTAAAATATGACTCAGCACAAAATATGGGCTGAGCAGAAGTAAAAGTAAAGCGTTCTAGGGAAGGATGAGGGTGGCCTCAAAAAGAGGGTGATGTTAAAGTTGAGTCATAAAAATGTATGAGATTCTCACAGATGAAGAGGTGAAGAAAGAACATTCTAGAAGGAGAAAACAGCTCCCTGACAGAGAGAGAGGGGCATGTGGGGACAAGCATGCTGGCAAAGCTCAAGAGCAGAGCATGCAGGGAGACGTGTGAGGGCAGGTCTGGAGAGTTGGATCAGGCCTAACTCAGGGGGGCTTCGAATGCCACGCTGAGGCAAGTAGACTTTATTCCCTCGGCAACCGGAAACTCTTTAAAGTACTTGAATATGAAAGCAGGTCATTTCATCCTTCATTTTTGGGAAGGCAATGCTCATGGTAGCACGGAGAGCAGCACGGTAAAGATAAGGAGTTGACTCAGGGAGACTTGGAAGGCTATTGTGATAGCCTGGGGAGACACTATGGCACCTGAATTACGGTGACACAAATGGGGCTGGAGAGGAAGACGAAGGTGAGAGACATTTCAGGGGTAGATTCAACAGGATTTGATGTGGTCATGTGCTGCGTCAAGTCTAGTCAGCGTCAGTCACAGGAAAACCCCAGTCTTACCTGCTAATCTGCCCGCGTTTCTAAGTCACAGACACCAACCCACCTGTAATGCCCGAGTGAGTTGAGAAGGCTCTGTGAAAAACATCAAAGCCAGCCTGGCCCATGGACGTGGGGACCAGGCAGTCCTCGAAGGAAGGCACCACACTGCAGGAGGTGCTGGGCGGCACGGTTCTCTGGGAGTCAGGGTAATGCGGAGGGCAGAATGTCTGCAGCTGCCCATAAAATCCTGAAACACAAGCATGGCATTGAGCTACTGCAGGGCACAGGTGCCAAAGATCATTCCAACCCAGCTAGACCCTCACTCAGTCTGTCTTCATATGACATCACGCTGCTGACTGTAAAAGCCCACCTGTAAAACCTGAACAAGCATTTGGAATGCACCATTAGAGTAGAAACTCTTCTACCTTCAGGGGCTTTCGAAGCTTGTCGGCGTATGACATTTTTATTCCTGCTCTAATACCTGAAGCTGAAAGCCTTCTTATTTTTGCTAGACTCTCCAAAGAGTCCTGGATACTGAAGGCCTGACCTTCAGAGGACATTCTTACCCCATGCCCTCCCACCAGGTTTTGAATGCATCTTCCTTAACTTCCTTTATCCTATATGCTATTCTGCTTTTCACAATTGGTAAAAACCTGAAGCATGCTCTAAACAAGGCCCACCTTTAAAAAAGAAATGCAACATAGATCTCTCCATCCATCTGTCCTTCTATAAATTCATACACATTCATATCTTCCTCATTATGTTGAATAGGTACATAGTATCCCGTAGCACTACAATTTACTTAAATACTATTATGGTTGACCTTTGCAGTAAATGAGGAAATATTTCTTAATATTTGAAAATAATCATCAACATTTTGCTAATCTTGTTTCACTTATCTCTTTCAATGTTTTTCTCACTTGGAGTTTTCCTTGTGGTCCTATGTGGTCCTTTTCTGTGATCCTCCACACCTTCCATGATACCTTACCTTTTCCTTCTTCCTCTTTGCCTCATGATAAATTTAAGTCAAAGGATTATTTCCTTGGAGTATAACATGCTTTGAAAAATGTAGTAATGAAATCTTCATTCAATAGTTTATTGAAGGGAGAACTGCAAACTCTCCATTTTACTGTATCTGTTTCCTCAACAGTAAAACGTGAATGTCATTCTCTATTTCACCAGGCTATTGTGAAGATTAAGCAAGTCACTGGATAAGGAAGTCCACGTATAATATTTTAAAGTGCTTTATAAATGTCAGTTATAATTGATATCACGACTCTGTTTCTGGTGGAAAAAACAAGGAATTTGTAGAGGAAGTGTCCCAGGGTTCCTTCTACAAACATTAAATGATGGAGAACACAGACTAATTCATGGACTTTGGGTCCCTAATCCTGTATACCTACCTCCACTACAACTTCCTCTTCTTCTTACATGAACCACCTACCAGCAGGTAGGGAGGAGCTATTTGGGTTCTTTCCAGCTCTCCCTAAGTACAACCAGGGTGCACTGACACATCCAGCCTACTAAGCTCAGACCCCTTCTCATTCCTGCTGAGTACTTTCAAGGTAGCCTGTGTAATTGCTCAGATTACTCTTGGCTGGAGGCCTGCTCTACGTTTGCTAGGAATATCACCAATGAATGTGTGCTAAACCGCTCATAAAGACACAGGTCAGACTCTAGGAGCTTATGACCAAGACACAGGGATTGGTGCACATCTATGCTCAGGGCACATTCAGTAGAAAACAAAATAATAATATACTTTATAAGCAGACAGCAGTATACTTTACATGGAGTCAGAAAAATCCACATAACATTTGGGGGAAGATTGAATGCATGTTAGCAGTATAGACTACAAAAATACCTAAGGAAATTCCATGTCAAGGCAGGAGAAGAAAGAATGGAAAACTATTGACTCTTCTGTTTTTGACCCCCAAAGACTTCTGCAGGATCTCAATAGACTGACTGGCAAAAGACCCATGGAGACCACTCAAATACTCATATAACTGATCAATCAGTATGGACAAACTGTCAGTCCTATAGCCATCAAAGGAATAAAAATCACAACAATGACAAAATACCATATTCTACCTATCACATTAGCAAAGATTTCTAAAAATCATTCTCGGCGCCGGAGTGGGACTGGTGAAGAAGGCACTTCTGTGCAGTGCTGCAGACATTGCTAAAGAGTACAGGCCTCTCGGAGAACAACCGGACAACCTGCATCTGGAACCCCAAAAGTGTTCACACTCTCAGACATGGGAATTTTACTTGTAAGAATGTATCCTAAAAGTATATTCTGAAGAAGAGAAGAAATTCGGCACAGAGATAGTCACCACAGTGCTTAGTTGTCATAATAGAAAACTGAAGAACCAAAACAGCCAACCATAAGAGAATGGGTGAGCAAATAGCGGTACATTTACACAACGGGAACATTAAGTAGCCAAACTGAATATGGAGATTAGGCTCAGTTATGTGGAAATCTAGGTATAGGATAGACTGCAAGGCAACATATGTCTAGTCGTCTTTGGGCATTTTTTTTTTTTTTTGCTTTATGTTTTTGTGAATTTTAATAGTGGTGAAGAGCAAGTACTCTGGAGCCAGACTTCCTGGGTTCAAATCCTAGCTCAACTACTTACCAGCTGTGCAGTCTTGGTGAATTAGCCTCTCAGTCTTCGTTTTCTAATTTGTAAACATGGGGTTAGTAAGTAGTACCTACACCTCACTGAGTTATTATGGAGATTAAATGAGTTGCTAGCTACATATTGTATAATATAATCTGATAATACAATTAAATATATAATTACTATTCATATAATATATATTTTAATAATATAATTTATATAATACATATGTGTTTGCTAAATAAGGAAAATAAAAAAGTAAAATTATTGCACAATAATGTGGTTCTCAAAAATAAAATAATGTTTATTAAGGTTTATTAACCTTTCAAAAAGGCAACAAGTAAGTCCTTCAACAATAACCAAATGTAAGAATGGACACAGAAGTGGGCATGTGACTCACTCCCAGTTCCCAGGTGGCATCCTCTGGAACATTCTTGGCCCTCTGGGGACCTGAGCTGTATACCTCTTGCCCATGTTACCTCCTAGATCCTGCACTAACTGACGCACATCCTGACTTTTTCACTCACCCCAGGATGGGCTCAAGATAGCAACAAGTTTTGAGTGGTGTGAAGGACCTGGGATGTCAGCTTCATGGTTTGGGAGGTTCCTTGGACTGATCTTGACTTTGGTTCCCACTGTCCAGGCACATGCAATCAGGACATTCCCAACAGGAGGGTTTGAACCATGATGGTTGGTTTATTAGGATGTAATGTCTCCTCACTGAGCAAAATAGACAATATTTGCTATTTATATCCCTATGCTGGCTGTGCTTAAATTTGTCACCCATAAATTCCCTGAGAGCATTCCTCAGTGTAATATTAGCCTTCCAAAAAGAGAAGACATTTTTCACTAAACTCCCACAACTCCTGAAATAGGGATATTAATCATTCAGGTATGTCAGGAACAGGGATAGAGACTTTCACTGGTCTTTGTGAAAACTAACTCATTCTCTCTTTCCTATCTTCTGCTATGCTTCTAAGAGAGAACAGAAATGTCACATGGCTTCAATCTACATTTGTCTTGTGATGCGTAAGACTATAAAGGTCTGTGATGCGGTGAAATACACTCAGTGAAGTTGAATATTAAGCCCAGCATTCTGGGCTCCATCTCCCAGTCTCCCCTGTCCATCTGGATCTGAATGAGAGGGCAGAGTGGACTGTAATTCCTGCCTGTGGGTGTCTTGGCTGACACCAGAAACAGTCGAAACCAGAATGGCCCTGCAAGCATGTTTTATCACTCTCACAGCCAACTCAGGGAAAGAAAATCCTCTTTATTAAATCCCTCCCTGCAAAAGCCAGTTACTAGAGATGCCAAATACACTGGTGTGGATGACTGTGGTCGCTCAAATCAAAGAGCTTTACCATGTCCTCTTCCCAGCGCTATTTCTATAAAACTAACAGAATTTTTAAAAATTCCATTAGGGTCTTACCACACACACAAACCCAGAGAAAGCCGAACTCATTTTCTGATGAATGGCTCCTGTATTCCAGCTGTTGGATTTCATGTAGTAAATTTGGAAGGAACACTACCTCTCGGACCCAAAGCAAAATGAGGCAAGATGTTAACACATTTCGTGGGCATAAAACCTAAGAGTGATGGCAAGGTCAGCCAATCTGTCAGTCAGCCAGTCAATGATAGTTATCAAGCCCTGGTCAACGTGCTGTTGGAACGACCAAAGAAATACAAGATAATACTTTGTCCTTGAGGATTGATAACGCAGTTGGTGTGACCACACATACATTCATAATAGCATAAGAACACACACACAAATTTATGTTGGCAATAAATGCTAGTTGTCACATTTGGTTATAAAATCATCCCTTCTCCATTTTAGAAGCTATTTTACCTCCAAGAATGGAGGGAGTGGGGGGTGGGGAGGAATTCTCAGATAAACTGATTCTACCCAAGTTACCGCTCCTGACGGTTAAGGAGAATCATGCCTCCTCTCCTCAGTTTTGGGAAGGTTTTTTCCCTTCTAAAAACAAATTTGCTTTTCTGATTATAAAAAATATTTGAATTAATTATACCAGCTAGAAAATGTGGAATAGTACAAACAAAGAAAGGAAAAATTATCTTTATTTTCACAATTCAGATATCGTCAGATAAATACACACAAAACTGGAATGTTATATACATTGTTCTTTATCCTGTTTTCTCCCTTATATTAGCTATGAGCTTCACATATCGCTAAAATTCATTCTTAAAAAACGCTCCTCTTACTTTGTCACACGGGGTCACTGGTGTCTCTGTGATGATAGGTTAGATCAGGAGTTCAAGGTCACTCTTGCTGTTAGGGATGATAAGGCAGCCCCGTGAAGCTGGGTGTGGTTTCCTTCCAAAAGAGGAAGGGGAGTGGAGGAAGTTAGAGGAGAAGGGAATTGTGTGACTAAATGTGATAATGGAAGGCTATTCTCTAGGGCAGAAGAATCCAATAGAGCTTTCTGTGATGAAGGACCCGATCTGCATCTCACTGTCCAATACAGTAGCTGCATGTGGCTACTGAGCACTTGAGACGTGGCTAGTGTGACAGAGGAACTGACTTTTAAGTTTTATTTAATTTTAACTAATTCAAATTTAAATAGCCACATGGTTCATGGCTACTGTACTGGACAGCGCAGCCCTTGGG